GGTTCGAATCCTGGTTCGCCCCGATTATGTTTCTAGGTTTGTCAGCACCATACCCGTGCTCGTGGGTTTCACCGATGTGGTAAACGTCTGAGACCTGCATCACTTCGGGCTTTCTTCCCACATTAAGCTGACACGCCGTGATATAACTGGAATAATGTTAAAAGCGGTGTTAAACCCAACTCACTCACTCACTTAATCCCCAGTAACCCTTCCATGACCTTATTAGATCTGTTCACATCTCTACAAAATCAGGGTTGTTTGAATACATCCACTAAACTATTTTTGTGTCTGATGTTTTTCCCTAAGATGTTTGTTCTTTGAAATGTAAAGCATTGATGAAATCAAGAATTTGAACCTGAAATAAATGTAAGAATATCAAGCACACAATGTGGATGGTCTTGAATGTTGAACAAGAGTATGTGTATACGTCCTATCTGAACTTTCTCCATAATAAATATGTTCAACGTAAACATCGCCCAAACTGCGGCTACCCCGAGATATGTGGGGTTATCTTGTTTGTACAGGATTACTCTGCCTGGTGAGGAGGAACCCTCGGTCAGGGGAGGTAACTAGGTAACGGTGGGTGATACGAGGTAAGGGGTGATAGGAGGTGTTTTCACTGGTGTCTATGACTGACATCTCCCAGTGCCCAGTGAGGAGCCTTGTATCTTCCTCCCGTACATCACACTGATAAGGATTTGTAGACTTAATGAGGCTAGTATAATGTATTTTCAACATGCTCATAAACATAGTGCTTTTGGACAGAAAAAGAAAAGTTTCCCTTGGTAAACTGCTGATAACGATTTGAAGTGATGTTTTTCTCTAGTTGTATTTTGTAGCTGTTCTTAAGCACTTTATGCTAAGATCGGTTTGTGCAGCTCAGATCACAGCACTAGTAGGCCCACACATTTGATCACTGCTGTAGACCAACACAAGCTTGGTGATGGCTTTGAACAGGCATGCAACCTCATTACCTGGGTAGTGTTATTTATACGTCACTAGAAGATTTAGTATCAATAGCATTTGTTTGATTGTCATTTATGTCTATCATGAGTATATTGTTTTTTTAAATTTGTTTTATAGCCTGATAACAGATTTGTCTTGTTCGGCCACATCTATTTTTTTGGTTGGTTTATGAGACCAACCTACAGAATGAATCTAAAATTAGGAAAAAATATGACAACTTTTGACAATTTGTTTTTGTCAAACTCTGTTTTACAACAGGTGAAATAAAAAAAACATGAGATTTTATCACCACTGTTCGTAAGATATCGTGACAAATTCAAAGGTCATTTTCTACCCCCAATAAAACCATTCAGTTATGTTTCAGTAACTTGACATGTTAAAACATGTTTGTTTTTCATTCATTAGTAGCAGTACTAAACTGAAAGTTGAATTTTTTTTTTAAATTTTCAAAACTACTCTGTATTTCCTGGAAATGATGACAAATAAAAAACTTATCACAACGGTACTGTCATGGCTGCAGTCATCCGTGTAGAACCCCACCCCATGCTCACACTTCCAGGGTGGCATGTTGTCAAAGTAATTGTGTTGTTTCAGACCTACATTGGGAATGTGGTTGTGTCTATGAACCCCTACACACGCCTCCAGCTGTACACGTCCAGCGTCATCGAGGAGTACCGCAGCAGGAACATCTATGAGCTGCCGCCACACATGTAAGTCTAGCAGCTTTGCCATTGTTACAGGGATGTCATCAATATGTTACAGGGATGACATCAATATGTTACAGGGATTTCATCAATGTGTTACAGTGATATCATCAATATGTTACAAGGATGTCATCAATTTGTTCCAAGGATTTCATCAATACGTTACAGGGATGTCATCACTTTGTTACAGTGATGTCTTCACTACGTTACAAGGATGTCATCAATTTGTTACAGTGATTTCATCAATGTGTTACTGGGATTTCATCACCATGTTACAGTGATGTCATCACTATGTTACAAGGATGTCATCAATTTGTTACAGGGATTTCATCAATATGTTACAGGGATTTCATCACTATGTTACAGGGATGACATCAATATGTTACAAGGATGTCATCAATTTGTTACAGGGATTTCATCAATATGTTACAGGGATTTCATCAATATGTTACAGGGATGACATCAATATGTTACAGGGATGTCATCAATATGTTACAGGGATTTCATCAATTAGTTACAGGGATTTCATCAATTAGTTACAGGGATTTCATCAATTTGTTACAAGGATTTCATCAATTTGTTACAAGGATTTCATCAATTTGTTACAAGGATTTCATCAATTTGTTTCTCTGTCAGAGCATCACTATTTGTCACTGATATCTTCACTATTTGATTGGGTGGTGGGGTAGCCTAGTGGTTAAAGCATTCGCTCGTGATGCCGAACACCTGGGTTCGATTTCCCCACATGGGTACAGTGTGTGTTATCACCTATATAGTACACAATAACATCAGAATATTGCATGTGATATCATCCATATATTACAGTGATATCACCCATATATAACACAGTAATATCACCCATATAGAACACAGTACTACCATCAATGTGTCAAACAGTGCTTTCATCGGTACTACTAAAAGTTGGTCAGTAGTATCACACAGGTGTATTGTAGCTCTTGTGTTGAGCTGGATATCTCAGTGAGACATATAAAGGGTTTAGCGGTGTGATTGACTTGACAGCCAGCTAGCAGGAGGAACTCCGGAGAGGCCCTGGACTGCCACTACTGTTTTAAGAGCAGCTGTAAATCCGGGAGAGTGGCACCAGGGCTTATCACAGCTGACTCTCAGTGCTGATAGCACACAGGAATGTATTTGTAGACCTCTCCTCATCGGTGTGAAATATACGACATGTGGAATATTGACGTCATATGACAGAAATCTGCTATGTATAAGGGGATATGGGTTATTTGAATAGAACTTGCGTACCTCCTGATGGGAGGAATGTGTGTTGAGACTGTTTTGGATCCAAGGAATGTGAATTCTAGAGTACCTATTTCTTTGATAGGATTATTATGGCTGAACGTTTGAAGGTAGTGGTATACAGTACAATTGCTGGAGATTTATAGCTGTACTTTTATCTTCCTGTGAATATGGCTGTTGTATGTCAGGGCCTTTGATCAAGCTTCATGGAACAGTACCTGAGATTATGACTGCTGTATGCTTAGCCCTGAATGGCCACCAGACCCAACTGAGCCTAGCCCCTACTGTCCACCAGACCATCAAACTGAGTCTAGCCCCTACTGTCCACCAGACCATCTAACTGAGTCTAGCCCCTACTGTCCACCAGACCATCAAACTGAGTCTAGCCCCTACTGTCCACCAGACCATCAAACTAAGTCTAGCCCTACTGTCCACCAGATCAACAAACTGAGCCTAGCCCCTACTGTCCACCAGATCAACAAACTGAGCCTAGCCCCTACTGTCCACCAGACCAACAAACTGAGCCTAGCCCCTACTGTCCACCAGACCAACAAACTGAGCCTAGTCCCTACTGTCCACCAGATCAACAAACTGAGCCTAGCCCCTACTGTCCACCAGATCAACAAACTGAGCCTAGCCCCTACTGTCCACCAGACCCAACTGAGCCTAGTCCCTACTGGCCACCAGATCAACAAACTGAGCCTAGCCCCTACTGTCCACCAGATCAACAAACTGAGCCTAGCCCCTACTGTCCACCGGATCAACAAACTGAGCCTAGCCCCTACTGTCCACCAGACCCAACTGAGCCTAGTCCCTACTGTCCACCAGATCAACAAACTGAGCCTAGCCCCTACTGTCCACCAGATCAACAAACTGATTCTAGCCCCTACTGTCCACCAGACCATCAAACTGAATCTAGTCCCTACTGTCCACCAGATCAACAAACTGAGCCTAGCCCCTACTGTCCACCAGAACAACAAACTGAGCCTAACCCCTACTGTCCACCAGACCATCCAACTGAGCCTAGCCCCTACTGTCCTCCAGACCAACAAACTGAGCCTAGTCCCTACTGTCCACCAGACCATCAAACTGAGTCTAGCCCCTACTGTCCACCAGACCCAACTGAGCCTAGTCCCTACTGTCCACCAGACCATCCAACTGAGCCTAGCCCCTACTGTCCACCAGACCATCCAACTGAGCCTAGCCCCTACTGTCCACCAGACCATCAAACTGAGTCTAGCCCCTACTGTCCACCAGACAATCAAACTGAGTCTAGCCCCTACTGTCCACCAGACAATCCAACTGAGCCTAGCCCCTACTGTCCACCAGACCATCAAACTGAGTCTAGCCCCTACTGTCCACCAGATCAACAAACTGAGTCTAGCCCCGACTGTCCACCAGACCATCAAACTGAGTCTAGCCCCTACTGTCCACCAGACCATCAAACTGAGTCTAGCCCCTACTGTCCACCAGACCATCAAACTGAGCCTAGCCCCTACTGTCCACCAGATCATCAAACTGAATCTAGCCCCTACTGTCCACCAGACCATCAAACTGAGTCTAGCCCCTACTGTCCACCAGACCATCCAACTGAGCCTAGCCCCTACTGTCCACCAGACAATCCAACTGAGTCTAGCCCCTACTGTCCACCAGACAATCCAACTGAGTCTAGCCCCTACTGTCCACCAGACAATCCAACTGAGTCTAGCCCCTACTGTCCACCAGACCATCAAACTGAGTCTAGCCCCTACTGCCCACCAGACCATCAAACTGAGTCTAGCCCCTACTGCCCACCAGACCATCAAACTGAGTCTAGCCCTACTGTCCACCAGATCAACAAACTGAGCCTAGCCCCTACTGTCCACCAGATCAACAAACTGAGCCTAGCCCCTACTGTCCACCAGACCCAACTGAGCCTAGCCCCTACTGTCCACCAGACCATCAAACTGAGCCTAGCCCCTACTGTCCACCAGACCATCAAACTGAGTCTAGCCCCTACTGTCCACCAGACCATCAAACTGAGTCTAGCCCCTACTGTCCACCAGACCATCAAACTGAGTCTAGCCCTACTGTCCACCAGATCAACAAACTGAGCCTAGCCCCTACTGTCCACCAGATCAACAAACTGAGCCTAGCCCCTACTGTCCACCAGACCCAACTGAGCCTAGTCCCTACTGTCCACCAGATCAACAAACTGAGCCTAGCCCCTACTGTCCACCAGACCATCAAACCGAATCTAGTCCCTACTGTCCACCAGATCAACAAACTGAGCCTAGCCCCTACTGTCCACCAGACCAACAAACTGAGCCTAGCCCCTACTGTCCACCAGACCAACAAACTGAGCCTAGCCCCTACTGTCCACCAGACCAACAAACTGAGTCTAGCCCCTACTGTCCACCAGACCAACAAACTGAGCCTAGCCCCTACTGTCCACCAGACCAACAAACTGAGCCTAGCCCCTACTGTCCACCAGACCAACAAACTGAGCCTAGCCCCTACTGTCCACCAGACCAACAAACTGAGTCTAGCCCCTACTGTCCACCAGACCAACAAACTGAGCCTAGCCCCTACTGTCCACCAGACCAACAAACTGAGTCTAGCCCCTACTGTCCACCAGACCAACAAACTGAGCCTAGTCCCTACTGTCCACCAGACCAACAAACTGAGCCTAGCCCCTACTGTCCACCAGACCAACAAACTGAGCCTAGTCCCTACTGTCCACCAGACCAACAAACTGAGCCTAGCCCCTACTGTCCACCAGACCAACAAACTGAGCCTAGCCCCTACTGTCCACCAGACCAACAAACTGAGCCTAGCCCCTACTGTCCACCAGACCAACAAACTGAGCCTAGTCCCTACTGTCCACCAGACCAACAAACTGAGCCTGCTTCTACACTGTTGCCCGGGGCCCCTCCAGATGAGGTAGTTGTAAGCCACCAAGTTGACAGACAGATAGACATCCTCTGTACAACCAGGAAGTGGGGTGTCGGGTTCCCCTCCGCTCCCACACTGAGTACAGAAACATCAGCAGACCATCCCCACCTGGCACTACTTCCCCATCTGCTGGCATGTGGGTGCTGTTGGTGATCTCTGATCTGGCGCAGTCGTTGTTTGACAACGGGAGAGAGAATACCATCTACCAGCTCCACACCACACTGTGCTAAGACAGGACTTTAGTAAATAAAACTGTTGAGTTTTGCCACTTCTGTATTTCATCAAACGTATGCTGTCAATCATCTGGTCATATGTGGATCCAGCGCTGGTGTTGGGGTGGGGCTGTGTGTTCGTGGGGGGGGGGGGGGGGGGGGGGGGGGCTAGGGGGGGGGGGGGGGGGGGGTGTCCATGGGGTCCACACACCCCACCCTTTGAAAACCAAATGTAGTATGTTGTAGACACCCCCCCCCCTCCCCCCGACAGGATCTTTTTATTGGAACCCTCCCTTTAAAAAATGCTGAGTCCACCCTTGCTTGTGATATATATGAACATTCATGTATAGTATATAATAATAAAATGTAATATCTTTATGCACAGTGTCCGTTATATGTATATTTATCTTTAATGTTTGTAATCATATTTACTCCCAGATGTAGCTGGTTTGGACCCTGACCAATAAGGGTGTTCTGTTCTTGACTCATGATTCGACACACACTTTGCTAAGTGGAGGAGGTTCTGAGGGGGGACTCGCAATGGCTACTTTGTCTTGTTTCATGAAGTACTTTTGCATTTATTTTGATCTATTAATTTTATTAATTGTGATAGCTGCCCCGCCATGTGCCGTCATGTTTCCTGGGAAGACATTGTTGCGAATGACTCTAAGAATACTTTACTTATTCCTTCTGATCATTCTCTCCCCATTAGAACCATTCTGTATTTCTCTGTTGGACACAAACCAACCATGTCGGCCATTGCCAAAAAAACAACTGAGTGACATATTTGTCAAGTGCAGGAATGGAGGAAGTTTGGGTTTCAGTTTTGAAATTAGCTCAGACTCCTTGCAGTAAGATTGTTATCTTGTCAACTTGATAATGTAACCAGCTGCTCTCTGGCAGACTGGAGGGGAGGGGAGGAGAGGAGGGACAGAATGGAGGAGGGGCAGGGGACTTGAGGAGGGGTAGGGGGCAGTGGCAATAAGGGGCAGTGGCAATAAGGGGCAGGGGCAATAAGGGGGCAGGGGCAATAAGGGGCAGGGGCAATAAGGGGGCAGGGGCAATAAGGGGGCAGGGGCAATAAGGGGCAGGGGCAATAAGGGGGCAGGGGCAATAAGGGGCAGGGGCAATAAGGGGGCAGGGGCAATAAGGGGCAGGGGCAATAAGGGGGCAGGGGCAATAAGGGGCAGGGGCAATAAGGGGGCAGGGGCAATAAGGGGCAGGGGCAATAAGGGGGCAGGGGCAATAAGGGGCAGGGGCAGTGAAATGGGCAGGGGCTGTGAAGAGGGGCAGGGAGGGGGGAGGGTAGTGAGGAGGATCGTTTGGGTGAAGCAAGCATAGGGGAGTGGAGGTGATAGCAGACTTTTCCTGGGATGAGACAAGTGAGGTGGGTAGAAGCACATGATAGAGTGGGGGTGGGGGTAGGTGATGACGTACAACAGGGAAGGGGGAGCCTAAGGGACTAATTCGTCGCATTTAAACCCCAAATAAAATATTAAAACCAAAACTACCTTATCTAACAACCACCCAACACACACAGCTCCCTTATTTCGTCCCCCACCCACTCTTGGCATTCTTTCCAAATCTCAAAATTTCAAAATTACTATATAAGCAACCCCTAAAGCCCCCCTCCTGGGTTGCACAAACTCACTTTTCCCCTTTTTGGAAACACATTAAATGGCCTGGCCGGGCCCGTGTGCGACATACGCTTGCAGTTGGAAAGCGCAGTCAACATACATATAATCAGTTGACATAAACATACATGTAGAGAGTATTTACAGAAGTTAATATGGCTTGGTCCTCCTGCCTATATGTCACAGATGTTTGTGTGGCCAACTACCCAGTTGTGGGTCCTGGAAATATTATTATCACTCGGATCAGCCTGTTCCCGATGCTGCTGGTTTGTGCACTCCCTGCTTTGAGGAGGGCTGGCTGGGATCTCCTGTAATCTGTTTAATCTGCCTCATCATCAGCCATGGGGGAGCGTGGGGGCCACAGGGATCCAGGAGGGCTGCCACGACCAGCTGCAATTTCTTCAAAGTTTAACAAACCATCCACCTGTCCCTGGGTGAAGCGGTTGAACCGCCATCAGTTGGTTTATCATCAAAGAGTTGATGAAGTTTTCCCAGCTGTATCAGTCGTGTGTCCATCTGACATTTTGCCACAGGACAACTCCCAGCTCAGACAGTCGCCAACACTAACATTTCCCCACATGGACTTTTCCTCCATTCTATATAAAAATGATTTAAGATCGACAACAAATATTTTATGTCAAGAGTTTTGTTTACAATTTGACTGATGATAATATGAATATTAAAATTCATCATCATTTTCAAGTTCACTAAAATGTCAACAGCTAGATAAACACAGATTCTAAAAAAAAAGTACCCTGAAGAACAGCGGGAGTGGGGAAATGTCCACTGTGGAATTGACCTGTAGGGAAGTCATCACGGTCCATGTGGGGAAATGTCTGGACCCCGTCCATCTGACACCACCTGGATGTTTAAATGGACTGTGTCTGATGTTGTGGCATGCATCTGTCAAACTTGCTGTCAGGAACATGAAACTTGATTCATTAGTTTGGAAAAACTACCGGTAGTTCTTGTCTTTGTGTTGGTGCGGAAGGTACTGGAGATTGTACATATCATGTTGGTTAGTTCCTGAATGTGTCATGTATGTTAGGCATCACTATCTCCCTATATCTCCCGTGATAACAGCCACATTGAAACATGCCGACAATGGACACAAGGAGTGAACTGATTGTTGCACAAGATCTTGCAAAGCAATGCATGGTGATTTTTATGCTCAAGCTGGTCAAGTTTGTGAGCAAGTATGCATCACCATGAAATCAAATCTTGTATATATCAAACTGAAAACATGATAGGCTTGGATCTATTGGACACAGACCTTGTAAGACTTGGGTCCATCAGATACAGGTCTAGTAAGACTTGGGTTTGTCAGACACAGACCTAGTAAGAATTGGGTCTATCAGATACAGATCTAGTAAGACTTGGGTCGATCAGACACAGACCTTGTAAGACTTGGGTCTATCGGACACAGATCTAGTAAGACTTGAGTATATCAGACACAGGCCTAATAAGACTTGGGTCTATCGGACACAGATCTAGTAAGACTTGGGTCTATCGGACACAGATCTAGTAAGACTTGGGTCTATCGGACACAGATCTAGTAAGACTTGGGTCTATCGGACACAGATCTAGTAAGACTTGAGTATATCAGACACAGGCCTAATAAGTATGGTCTATCGGACACAGACTTCGTAAGATTAGGGTCTATCGGACACAGACTTCGTAAGATTAGGGTCTATCGGACACAGAGCTGTAAGACTTTGGTCTATCGGACACAAACCCAGTTAGGCTTGGGTCTATCGGACACAGACCTCGTAAGACTTTGGTCTATCGGACACAGACCTCAAGAAGACTGTCTATAAGATTAGATACCAAGTAAAACTTGGGTCTATTAAACAACATACTATGTGAAACTTGGTTCGATACTCTGAGAACAGGCAGCTGTTCTAATGACTAGTGTCGATATCAGTTGTGGAATATTAGTCTTGTTGCCAGCAGGAGTGGTCCTCTGTGTTATGTTCAATAGTCCAGGAGGTCCCAAGCGACAGGGAAATTAGCTTTAATCTGTCCGAGTCGTGAATCAATCTCTCCCCATGGAGTATGACAAAGTTCCCATACTGTTCCCAAAAGATGGTATAAATTTACCAATGCATATTCAGATCTCAGTGGAATCAGCCATTATGCTTGAATTGGTGAGGGTTGATTTAGTGATGGAGTTTTGCACAGAACCTCAGAGCTTGACAGCCAGTCATGAACACAACCGAATATTGGCTTTGTTTAATACAAAACTCCAATTATTCATGAATGATTTACGGAGTGTATAAGATTGGATTTATTGCTGGTGTGAACAGAAACCATGAAACTGCTCTCTGAAATGTGATCTCATCTTCCATGAAATAAACTCTGACTTAATTATGCAATTCCCATACTTACGTCAAAATTCAATTATGAAGCAAGTGACTTTTAGACTGTGTCGATCAAGGCTGAATCTGACGATACCAATGGCCGAGCTACTTCATAATGATGTGTTTTGGCCAGGGTCTAAATCTTCTACAACCAGTTTCCTGTGATGTACTTCAAATTGCATCTGTATTGGTGCTTATGATTTGAGCTTGTGGAACTATATTAGTCAAAATATTGATAGAAACCATTCTGGCAGCACAGCGAGAGGAAAATAATGTCTTTCCATGCATCTTGAACTGTTGTGTAAAATCAATTCTGAAAGTTTAACAGAATGCTGCTTGATTGCTCCTTGGGTTGTACAGGAATTATCTTGTTTTCTTAAACTAGAAGACGGAGATTGTCAATCACTCCTCAAAGTGGGATGTTGGATAGAACTGGTATTATGTTCAGCAAGGCAATAGCCATAAAGAGTGATATAGCCTTGTTGTTTAAAGAGTGATATAGCCTTGTTGTACATAGTGATATAGCCTTGTTGTATAATGAGTGATATAGCCTTGTTGTACATAGAGTGATATAGCCTTGTTGTATGAATAGTGATATAGCCTTGTTGTATAAGGAGTGATATAGAATTGTTGTATTAAGAGTGATATGGCATTGTTGTATGAAGAATGAGATAGCCTTTTCGTATAAAGAGAGATATAGCATTGTTGTATAAAGAGAAATATTGCATTGTTGTATAAAGAGGCTGCAATATCCCGGTTGTAAAAAGAGTGCAATATCCTTGTTGTATAAGAGTGATATAGCCTTGTTGCTAGCCTTGTTCCAAGGCTGTACTGAAAGAATAGTCCATCGATGTGTAGTAATTCTATCCTCCTAATAGGCAAGTCTAGATATGTGGACAGTACAAAGGACTCCAGTCTCTTATAGGGACATCTTGTTCTTATTATTTACATTATCTAGAATTTATAGTTTCA